CTTAATTTTCTGGTATGTTTACTTTTATATATTTTGACACCCCTTAACCAAAATTCTGGCTCCGCCACTGCTTACAAGTTACTTCTGACTTGTACTTTGTATCTTCCCTTCCATGGTAACATAATTGTGCTTGAACGTACTTTGCTACTGATGAAAGCATTTCTTTGTTTCAGAACTTCGTTGGCCTATCTGTAGCTGATGGTTACATAGCAACTGGCTCAGAGACAAATGAGGTATCATTTACTATCGCAAAGTTGAATCTTTACTTGAGTACTTGATTGCATTATAAATGAGTTTTGAGCAATACTTAGATTGTAACAGAAAATGTTTGTTCACATCTCATATATAAGGATAACTTGTTTGACTAAAACTGGATCTTTGAGCATCATATCTAAGGCAGATGCATGAGGCTGTAGTTTGTGTTCAAGTTCAAGTTACTTTTAAACATAGTGGTGAAGTTGCTGAATGCAGTCCATAAATAAATTAAATAAATGACACAGTAGTGATAGTGTATTTCAGCGTAAAACACTTACTTTCTGTACATTTATAACATACCATCTTGATTCGCAATGACCATTTCCCTGTTACATATGCACTAAAGTTAATCAGCCAACTGACTATGCCTCCATCAGAAACAAGTTGGGGTCGGCTATATGAATCATCTATGCATATTCTGCTCAATTCGGATATTTCATTTCAATACTGAATTTTTAGAGGAAAAATAGGGGTTCTACTAGACATCTCTACCCTCAAAAATATACTTGTGCTCATTTTGGCGCGGAAGAATAAACCTTCGTTATAATTGCCGACTATTCAAAAGAGTTCATTTTGTTATGATTGCTGATTTGTTGAAATGAGTCCACTTCATGTACAACTCAACTTCATTGTTATTTCGGTTATGCTTCACACGGAGATTCAATAGGTGAAGAATTTCCAAGTGATTATCTAAATTATTCCATTTAAGTTGTGTCATCTTGTAAAGTGTCGATTGCTTGAAATTAGTCCAAGACCTGGTGATACAGCCCTACTGGATATCAGTGCTGCATATATTCCACATCCGTGATTCTTGGGTGCATCATATTTTTATCTATAATTTCTCTGAAGGAGTTATTTAAAAGGAAAGCCTATCTCTATAGTTAATACATACAAACCTCTCTATAACAGCCTCGTCTTTTCCGAACATTTTTTGGATGCTATAGCGAAGTGCTGTTATAGAGAACATATATGCAACATAACATGAAAAATTGGTTACATAGAAAACTTGGCCGTTATAGTGAAGTGTTGTTATAGATGATGGTTGTTATAGAGAAGTTTGACTGTAAATGCAAAATGCAAAATGTAAGGTCATGCAATTATTTTGTGTTTTAGTAGTTCAGTATGTCTGGTTCTAGATGCTAAGTTAGTACTAAGATAGTTTTACACAGTTTATTATACTGGCCTAACTCTTTGATTGTTCCGAGTCTTAGACTGCTTCTACATGTAGAAATCACTTTTAACAATAAATTCCATGTGGTGAAGCAAAAATAAGAAAGCACAAACTGGTCAAAACTTCCACTTATGCTGCCTATGAAATAAAATTTGGCATCGGCACCCTCAAGGCAGGTTGTAGTCTGCATGTTGTAGATGACATGTTGGGCCTTGTGCATATTCCACCATGTAGCAATTGTCGTTGTGTACTATACTAAACGTGTATAGATATGCCTTTGGATCATATTGAGCATGTACAACATCCTGATTGGCCTAGACTATATATACATTGACATGTGTACCATCAACGGGATAACTAACCTTAGTCAAACAATCACATCCTTGCATGTGTATCCTAGTGATGGATGTCGTTTATTTGCCCCTGAGTGTTCCCCCTTGGTACCTTAAGTTGATCTCTTGCACAAGCAGGTTCATAGGCAGTCTGCAAAAAGATGTTCTCCTTGAGCTTCAAGAGGAAACCAAAGGATTTCAGCTACATTATGCTACGTACTAATACTATAGACCCTTGTGGTCCGGCCCCTACCCGGACCCCGCGCATAGCGGGAGCTTAGTGCACCAGGCTGCGTTTTTTGTTGCTCTAAGTTCACATAAATCAGCCAAATATAATCTGATTAGTTGGTCATTGACTTCCCCTAGTCACCTAATTTCATGTCCATCTTATATCCTTAAGAGAAAAGCCATAGCTTTTGGAGGTCGCTTCATCTGAAGCCATGCCAGCTGTAAACAAACCAAGAAGGTGCTAACTTAAGTATGGGAACATTACTGGTCCTCAATGCAAGAGCAGGCTACTTAAGAATTTTTTTTATAGAGATGATTGAAATGGAGGAGTGGTATAGGAGTAATATGCGATACGAAGATACCAAACAATGTGAAAGGCCAGTAACGTAAACGAAAGGGAACCATGGTGGTATATGGGAGTGCATGTTGGTTCTCGGGACTCAACATATGCACAAACAAGATGAATGTCATAGAAATGTGAATGTTAAGATGGATATGTTGCCATACAAGGATTGAATAAAGATTAGAAATGATGACATTTTCCGAGGGGTACATAGACCTATATATTCATCGAACTGGAGGTGTGACAATATGATGATTGAATGTGATAAAATGAGTCTTGTTTCAGACCAGCTAGAAACAACTAACTGCATAAGTGGGAGAGAGATAACTTGGCGAACACGACCAAAAGCACCATGGTACTCGTTAACGCTCCTATCAAGCCTCAAATTCTTCATTTCATCCATAGGATCATCATACTCTTGGCCAAGCCTCTCATTTAGGCCCAATACATACTCGTCCCAGGATAAATAATCCAAATGTTTCCTTCCACGCATAAAAGGCGTGCCATTGGATTACTGCTCCCTCAAAGTGGACTCCTTCCACCTTGACCCTCTCTGCTCCAATGGGTACAACATCAATTGAAAAGAACTGATCCACCTTATACAGCTACGTCCTCAAATCAGACCCATCAAAACTAGGGAAATGTCGACCTTCACAGATGAATGAAGTGAATGGACTGAAACGTTAATCTATTTGCTGGTGCGGCCAAGAAACAGGGTTCTCAAACTCCTAGATGGTTGAAGTATTCCCTTCGAAGTGCTGTAGATTCTTCATTCTCTCTTGTGCTTTCATTTTAGCCATGAGCTTTGCAATTGATTGCATATGCTGTAACACCAATTGATCTTGTCTCCTCTTAAAGGGAAGCTCGGTGCACAATGCATCCTGCGTTGACGCAGGGTCCGGGGAAGGGCCGCATTACAAGGGGTGTGATGTAGACAGCCCACCCTAATGCAAGCATTAGTGACTGCTTCCACGGCTCTAACCCGTGACCTATAGGTTACACAAGGACAACTTTACCGTTGCTCCAAGGCTCCGCCTCATCTTGTCTCCTCTTTAGATCTCCGAATTATTTCTTCAATAACTCCAGCTCCCTCATGTCCATGGTCGATCGTGTTTCTAGGAGAATCTTAAAAGCTTGAGGTGACGATTGAATGGCTCTGATACCAATTGATACAAACAAATGAATAAAGGTGGAAAAAATAACCTTCAGGAGAGAGGAATTTCGGGAAAGGGTTGAATAGCTCAGGTAAGGGGAAGCCTCTGAGTACAAATCAAAAGATTGACAGCTAAAATGTGTGTTATTGTTTCGGATGAGCTCCAAATGAATGATTACAGGTAAATTATACTAGAGAACTAAGTTGGAAATTGTCTAACTAATTCTAACCAAATTTCCTGCCAAAATTGAATTTGAAAACTAACACCCAAATGGTGGCTATTAGTGCTGATTTACTGCTCAATTTTCCATTATTAATGCGGATTTGGTGCTTTGTGTCATGCTGCAGGTTGTCATCTACCACAAAGCTTTTCCTATGCCCGCATTATCATTTAAATTTAATAGCACAGATCCGCTTTCTGGTGATGAAGTGGACGACAGTGCACAGTTCATCTCATCCGTGTGTTGGCGTGGTCAGTCCTCTACCTTAGTTGCTGCAAATTCTATGGGAAATATCAAGCTCTTGGAGATGGTCTAATGTGGTTCAAGTCCCTAAAGTCTTGACCATTACTTTAAGAAGAGGAAAGGAGTGAAGGGGAAGAGTTTTGCACGGGTAAATGAGGGGATTACACCTGCATATATTGTTGTAGCTGATATAAACTAGATACAATACGATGGTAACAAGTTGCCATCAAGAAACAAATATTTTTGCAGTTAGTTCATAGCGGAAGCAACTCTCTGGAAGTATGAGATTTTGTCTCATAGCGGAAAGTGTTGTAAATAAATATTGGTTTTGGAGAGGAGTGAAGAGTTGCAAGTGTTAGTTCTGTTTGTATATTCTATAATTTTGAAGTTGTTAAGAAATTCACCGGAATGTTAGATCTTGGCCTGATGTCGTCTTAGCGCATTCATTTTCCAACATATTCTGTTTAAGATGTTTATGCTGTTCATGACCAGCCAATTGGTTTGACATAAAGCATGCACAAATTATATAACTACTAAGTTATGGAGCACATCTTTCCAATGGGAGGTTGTTGGCTGGTGAGATGTGATAATTCTATTCCATTTCATTTCATTTCTGAATCTGTTTTGATTGTTTTATTTGCTTTTTGTTATTTTTAGCTAGTTGATGGTAACATTTTCAGTGTTATATTTTAATCTGCTGGCCTGCCGCCTGTTAAGATTGATTGAGAAAGGCAAAGGCAAAGGAGAACATAGAAGATATGTTTCTTCAAAAAGTCTATTGGTTTAAGATCCAACCGAATATTTGATGTTTCACCATGTGACACATTACAGTTTATCTTTATATCTTATGATGGTAGGAAAATTGACTTTTTATTTTTTAAGTAGTGTTACGTGAATATTATGTAATGTGAGTTGTGACGCGGCTATAGTTATATAGCAATTTTATACATGTGGCCGCTTACTTGCGTTTTTTTGGGGTAAGATCTAGCATGTATTGTCGTTTATACTTTTTATAATATATATGCCTAGTTGAGTTGTTTTTCCATTATATAATTAGCTTTATTACTTTTGTGCAGTAAATAAAAACCATCCATGGGAACGCTGACACCAAAGTAATGGCAATGATACGACTAACTTTATGCAAGACGTTCAAATGTTGATATGTGTTGTCAATGTAATGTTCCCCTCGGGTTTTTTTGGATCAATTAACAAGCAGGGATAGAACAACGACAACTTCTGTTCTTCAATCCCAAGCACGTTGTTTTCACTATATGTATCCTCATCGTCCATGTTATACCATTTAAGCTCGTCTCACTGTCTCAGTATATAATATTATAAAAAAATAAATAGGGGTAGAATGACAAGGAAAATCTAATTACACTGGTTTTGACTAAATTTAGCTGACAAAACTAGTCTACCAATAAGTCTCCTAAGCCTTTGAGCCCCTGGACCTGGTCTAAGTTTTGTTGGATTTCCAACTTTAGAACAAGGAGGATTTCCAGCACACCAACCACCAGGTGTGAAACTATCATTACTCCTGTTAAGTAATTCCATATCAATCTTGTCTAAAACAGGATCATCGTTCATGAACTTGCGCGCAAACGCCGCGCCACTTGCAACCATTTTTGCAGTGTCATTTAGGGAAAGAGTATGTGGATGTTGTTTTGGAGGGACATCCCAAGAAATATAGTGCAAATCATGGTTAATAACAGTTGAAGAGAATTCTTGTGCATTGCATACAACTGTCTGAAAGTAGCCTTCTGGAGAGGACACAAAATTTGAATAATATAGAAGTAGGTTCCTAGGAAGATTATCCCATCCCCATATGCAGTATTCCACAAATGCACGTGAAAGGATCATCCAAGCTGAACCTATAATCAAGTTTGTAATATGCTTCAGAGTTTAAGTTTTGATGTGCAGAATATAAAAGATTTTAATACAATCATGTCATTTATAAGGTAATTACAAGTAAATTTCTATAAAAATTATTTTATCAGTAACCTGGTAAAAATAGTAACTAGTGTTATCACATAATAAATAGGCAAGGAAACCAGAGTATAGTGATACCGAGTAAGTCAAAATTCATTTGATGGTATATGCAACATTTGCAGACACAATATATTTGCAAATATTGAACGACCGATAAATCAAACAACAAAAGAGAAATATATCAAAAGAGATACAAATATTTAACGTGGTTCGGTCAATTGACCTACGTCAATAGGCGGAGATGAGCAGTCTACTATATAAAAGAAAGTACAAAATATTGAGAGAACAATCTCACAAAGAGGTACACACAAATGACAACATAACACTTGTCCCAAAAATTCAATATTTGCTTTGCTAGCTTGCGCATGACACCTGATTATTGCGATCCTAACATTCTGCGTGTACTTTAAGTGTGTACCAAAAGTCTTTTAGTCTTTTTTAAACTGCGTGTCCAGTCAAACATAGACTATATTGTACAACATATTCAAATCATGGGAAAACCAGAATGTACAATCTAAAATGCAATAGTTTATGGCATCGAATTGAAGTATATTGGCATAGCATTTTCAGTTTTCTATTTGTAGTAGTGATGCATGAACATATGTTAACAACGTTAAAAATGCATATACAATTGGGCAAAATACATTGTCCAAACTAACCAGTAAAGAGTTTAAAGGCAGTGGGAACACTTCTTCTTGGTGTGACCCAAAATATATCAGACTTTGTGGTTTTATACAGCCCAGGGTCTATAATAAGTGGCATTGCCCTTCCTGTCCTGCAAATTAAAGCTCAAATGGTAAAATACAACAACAAGAGGTCAAAGTGAGAAACAGAGAAGAATTAAGAACATACTCTTTCCAACCTAGCTCACTTGTGTGCTCAATGAAATTCAAGTCTCTTTTCAAATCGGAAAATGTGTAGAGAAGATCTACAAAAAAAGGGAAATCAAACATATCTTCTAAAAAAAAAAAAAAAAAAAAAACAAAAAAAACAGAAGAATAAATAAGCGAGACATTAAAAAAATAAAATAAGTGAGACCGAAAAGTAAACCAAAGAAACTTCTGGTATGAGAAAACTAAATTTGTAGGATATCCTTACTTTCAACAATATGTGTTAGTTATTTTTTCCAATATTCGAAACTCAATGATCTGACTAATTCTAATTCGTGTACTGGCCGTGTAGGCCAATAAGCATGCCCTACTAAAAGATGTCGTGGCAAAATCGGATTCATGCAATTTAGACTCACTATGGGGTAAAATGATTTCTACCAAGAGGTGGCCTGAGTAAATCTAGATTCGAACAATTTATGCCCATTAAGAGAAGTAAACAAACTCCCTATCAAAAGGTGGACTGATTAATAGGATTTGCGCAGTGTAAATCAACTAAGAAAGGTAAAGTATTTCTACTAAGAATTTCTTCATTTTCAAAGCTCGAAAGTATAAGCCTAAGCCTGCTAAGGGAGGTAAATCCTCCGGACCGAAAGATTCTCCGTCTAATTAAATTATAAGAAATAAAAATAAAAAGGAAAAGGAAGGAGAGAGAGCTAAAAGACCATAGAACTGACCATCTTGAGTCACTAGGGGATAATCAGAAGCACTTAGATTAATAAACCAATCCCAATCTTTATGCTTCTCAAG